ATATATATATATATATATATATATGTATATGTACATATATATATATATATGTATATGTACATACATATACGTATGTATATGTACATACATATACGTATGTACATAGACATACGTATGTATATGTACATATACATACGTATGTATATGTACATATACATACGTATGTATATGTACATATACATACGTATGTATATGTACATATACATACGTATGTATATGTACATATACATACGTATGTATATGTACATATACATACGTATGTATATGTACATATACATACGTATGTATATGTACATATACATACGTATGTATATGTACATATACATACGTATGTATATGTACATATACATACGTATGTATATGTACATATACATACGTATGTATATGTACATATACATACGTATGTATATGTACATATACATACGTATGTATATGTACATATACATACGTCCATGTAGCATCAAGTTCAATCACCACTCACTAAATGTGACTCAACATTAATTTAGTATTCTATTTTATATCAATTTACATATCCATGGATGATTTAATCAAACCAATCATAAAATTAGGATAGGACACTTCAGTATATAGAAAAAGTAAATCCAATGGGCTATAATTTTTAATGGACCATCCTATTTTGATGCCCATTGGTTATGAACATTAGAGTATATTAACTAACATAAAATTAAAACCCATCATCTATGACATATTAATAAGAGTATGAAAAATAGGACGGTCCATTAAAAATTGTAAGGAATTAGATACTAGTTAAACAAATACTGATTTATAAATGGTGCACAAGCAAATAAACGTTTTTTTTTTCTGAGAAAAATGCTATAAACACGTAGTAAAAGATCCAGAAGCTGCATTATATAAGCATGTGTGACTTCGCCATATGTCCAGTGCATCAAGATTGAGGATTTGCTTCATTGCAGCTCATCACACACGTGCGCGTGCTCGCACACACGCATATGTATATATGTAATATCAGAGCTCATCCTTGGGCTCATACAAATGTTGCTGGTCCCAGTAGTAAGGAAACTTGAGCCTGGCTGCAGTATGAGGCATACTCCAATCATCATAAATGAACCTGAAAAGAGAACAACAAATAAATAAGAAAATGGGAAATTTAAATTATATACCACACAATTCTCATGTATTTAGATATCTAACAGCTAAAGTTTGCTATTTACATTTATAATACTTGTGTTAAAATTTATGGTTGGCCTTTAAAAGAGAAGCATAAAACAAAGTTAAGTGTTACTGAGATGAGAATGCTTAGGTGGATGAGAGGCTTGACATAGAGACAAAATGTGAAATGATTATATCCGTGATAGGGTTGGTGTAGCTCCAATGGCGGACAAGATTAGAGAGTCGTCTTAGATGGTTTGGCACATTAGACGTCGACCATCTGATAATCCGGTTAGGAGAGTAAGGCATTTTAGATTCGACTTATGTTAAGAAAGATGGAGTTGGGTATAGTGTATAAAAAATGATCTTAATCTATTAGAATTAAATGAAAATATGACACTCAATAAGACACAAGGAGAAAAAGATTCATGTAGCCAACCCCACTTAGTGGGATAAAAGCTTGTTGTTAATGATGTGTTAAAATTTATGCATGAAAAAGTGTATTTCACTTTTAAAAGGTTAGTCATGATAGTATTTTTTTTATGTAATGTTAAGAATTTAAGTGGCATGCATATAAATATGAAATTTTAGGTGTTAGAAATGTGAATATATAAAAAGTGTGTCGTATGTATGTATATGCCCCAAACAAAATTGAATTAAGGAAACTCATCTAATTTACAAATATTGATTACAAAGCTAAAAATGTTACTAAAGAAAGGTTAATTTTCATAAGCGACATAATATCATAGATAAAGATTTCAACATAAAAACTTGGGATTATTAGACAACAAATTTCGTTAATCCCATATTTATTAAAGTGCAACTAATTATAAACTTGCTAAGGGGATTCATAACTCAAATTCCCTAATGGCAAAGGAGAAGTTCTGCAAAATGTATTTTCTAAAAACTTGTGACATAATTAGTACAAGGTTTCTCGCCTCAAGTCATAATTCTGTAACTGTTCTTAGTTTATCCAAGAAATAATTTGTAATGTTAAACTAATTAGTCTCAAGATAAGTTTGGTGATTGAAAATGAATGAAAAATGAGAATTTTTAAAATGAATGCTAAATGATTTTGATAAAGCTAATGATGATGAAGTCTGTATACACACTGTAATTTTGTGGCACAAAAATGAGATAAAAAACTCAAAACTATTTTTATGATGCTGTTCTTTTTTCAAATGATTAAAATCAAATGAAAGTGGATATATGAATATAGCTGTAGGTAATAAAATGGGTAGAAGCAACATTATAACCCAAAAACAAAATACAAAATAAATAACAATCGACAAAAAACGTTACTCAAACAAGATATCTTTGTGAAGTGATGAGGAAATTCATGGTCTGCCGACACAATGATTGAAATTAAGAAAATTTACATATATAACTATTAAATCCTTCTAGGACGTAGGGTCTTGCATTGTTCGTGGGTACATACAGCTTGGCCGAAAACCCAATAATGTAGGAAGAGTGCTATAAAGAGAGGATGAGATGGAAGAAATCCCAAAAGATAAGGTGCTTTAGAGGAATTGGATACTAAGGGATAAAAGTTCTCCCTCAGGAGATCTAGGGTCCCTAAGAAAAGGGAGATAAGAAGGCTAAAAAAGAGAGAAAAAAAGAGCCAGATTCTACCCTCTCCTTCTTCTCGTTAGATCTTTTATATATGGAAGGTGTAGGACTTCAAGGACTATACTGTTGACATTTATCTGACCGGAGCCAAAATTAAAAGGCCTTGTCGGCTAGTGTCAGATATTGTCGTTAGGGTGGTCATCCCTGATATGTGGATGATGGGATTGAATCACGAGTGTTGGGCGATGTCCTTAAATGGAGGACGGATGTCTTGGTTGGTCATGATTGCCTCCTTGGCTTACTACTTCTGTGAAAATGGGTTCACATTTGCCTTTTTCAAGAATATAGAAAAGAGATGGACCAATCGCATTAGCAGGTAGGCTCGATTCAACTACTTGGGTGGTTGGCTTGATTCAGTCACTTAAGGACTAAATTACCAAAAAAAAAATTATATAGCTATACTCCCGTATGTCAGTATTTGTGGATACAATATCACACAATTCATATGTATCTATATATCTAACGTCTGAAATTTTGTATTCACATTTATAATACTTTAGCGCATCAGTCTATACATGTGACCGCCTCAACACCACCCCCACGCCCCCCCAACCAAAAAAAAAAAAAAGAAATGTACAAGATTTCTATGTTTGCTTACAACTTTATATAACAAAGATGGACAAAAAGCTGAAAACAGTTATACTTCGATAATTTTTTGCCCTATAATATTGCCCTACCAAGTACATTCCACCATAGTAAATTTTCCTGGTCATCATGGAATTAGGCACATGGTCTAGGAAAAAATTAGCTGAAAGAATATGGACATTAGTTACTCTGAATCACCAGTTGTTTTTTTCTGAAGAAAAATGGTGGTTTTTATTTTTATCTAAAAGAGCTAAATTCAGCTGCTATTTGTCACGCCAATCCAGCTTAAACAAATATTAGTCACCAAAAACACGTTTAAAGGCAGCTCCAAAGTAGATAGTTTAATAAATTTGCCAGTGCTTTAATGTGATCTTTGTGAGTCCAATTCTCTAAAAATAAAATGATTTGTTATTGCAAATAAAAACATTTACTGCTTATATATTGGCAGACAAGCCGTAAAGTACGAAAAAATGAAAAAAGCACACGCACACATTCAGTACGATTTACGTCTAGAACAGCTTATATTGTATTTCATTAACTTAAAGCAGAAAAAAGATAAAACTAAGAAAGCGGAGCCATAAAGCTTTATTCTCTACTAGAAAAAAAAATAAAAAACAGAGAGAACATGGTCAGAATAAAAATAACCCGTGAAGATTCCAAGAAAGGTGATAAATAGCAAAACCATTAAGGGCTTGCAGTAGTTATTTGTCTAAGATGAATTGAAAAAAAAGAAACACAAATGGTAGACAAAGAAATAAGGAGAACTACTCACACTTTAACAGGTGGACGAGATATCACAACTAGCACTTGGAGATCCTCATGCTCATCTGTATTCCAAACCTGCATTATCAAAAAAACAAATGGAAGTAATAAGTCAAGAATATTGTCAATCCATGTGATCAGAATAACTAACCAAACCAGTTTATTTTTAGCAACAGCAATCGAGTAATAAGAATTATAAGCATTATTATAGTCCAGATATTGAAATCTCAAGGCCTGTTGCATTTCTAATAAAAACAACTTTATGGAGCCTCAACTACCCCACCATAATGTTTTTAGCCAATGCTGGCTTTCATGATTATTAAACATCTTAGCTCACGATCATCCTAGATGGAGATTCAATAGAAAAAAATCACTGTTCTAAATACACTTGGATTATCCTTTCATGCAAATTACATCATTTTTTTCATTATCCAGAACTATATATCCTACTGGCCTGTTTGGCACAATCACCAATAAGTCAACAATATCATTAAGTAAAAGCCCCAAAAATTTCAAAAGAATAGCTACATTTCTATTTTCACTAACTAACTGTGTCTCAACCAGACAACAATTCTAGAAATCTGCTACTAAGGAGATAAGTAAAACCAGACAACATTCAAAGGTTTTTGTTCTAAATTTCACAAACTCATCCAAAAGAACCACCAAAAGGCATTATATTAAGATACTAAAAACCAAATTGCTGTTATTAAATGCTATGCAAGATGAGTGTAAACAAATTACCACCACACTTCATTGAACGTTTTTGTGATTGATTTTTAGAAGGGAAATTATATATTTGATAAGATACTACTTAGATATTTCACCCTCATAAAATGATTTTATAATATGATTCTAATTAGAATAATGACTGACGCGGGCATGGGCTCTGAAAGCACCCCAGAAGAGGGGCGCTTAAAACACGTGGGGCTAGAAACTATGCGAACCAGCCAGCGGAAAATTCGCAAAGACAGGAGAGGAATCGCGAAGGCGGGATCACAATCTCTAGAAAAAGCGGACTGCAGCCATTCCTTTGGTGCCCTTCTTCATATAGGAAGTTTTAATGGCTATTTTTCTAGATTCTTCTTTCTTCCCCACCCCTTCCTTTTGTGTGGGAGTTTCATTTTTTATTTTTTTCCTATTTTTCTTTAGAAGGAATCTAAAAATTGTTGTTTTCTGTTTATAAGGAGCAGTTTTTGGCTGTGGTAGTTTTTCAGATTTTCTGTGTAGAGTCATTTTCCCTCTTACTAGGGCTGACAGGTGGTGCCCGGCTATATCCAGCTCCAAGGCAGTGTTGTATCCTTCCAATCTCCTCCCCGACCCTTATCCTACCTCCTCCCTAGCCGCCGTCCACAACTTCCTTGTCTCTCTCCCATCTCTCTCCACAGCTCTGCTGCCACCTCTACTACCACCACAACTTGTTGTCCTGCCATCCAGTCCCCTCATTCCAACACCCGTACTACTCCCCACAACCACCTAGGTTGCCCAGTCCTCCAAGTCATCTACCCACATCCTGCCACCCCTTCCTTGCAACAAACCTTGCTGTCCAACTCACCTACAACCCACCAAACATCATTCCAACCTACCAAACAGCCACCCGGTCTTCCCCACCTTTCCCACGCAGATGCCATCACCGCCTTTGGATCCCTTCCTACAGCCCTAACAGAAGATTAGTCTATTATTGTATTTCTTTTTCCGCTTGAGTCGTGTTGTAACTCTATTTCTATATTAATAAAATTTTTCTTTTATGTTCTGCTAAATCCTAACTAGTTCCGATATCAGTGATATATTCTTTTCTACAATCCAAATTGTTGCTACAAATGCAAAGCATTCCAGAGTCCATAATTTAGCTTTAATAGAAAATTCATTCTTGCAATTAAAAGAAGTAATTAACAATAGGAAATTACAATATGGGAGACCACAGATCAAATCATAAAATCCTTGTAAGAAAGAGAAATGCGTAGATAGCAACTCGTCTAATATCAAATCTTGCCTCTTGACAAGTCACCTCAGCCACTCAAATGTGGACAATGTAAGTTGTGATTTCAGAGATCACAAGTCCTTAGCCGCAAACAGGTCCCAAACTTTGTCTACAGAGTACCAACATGATTCTCAGTCACCAAAACTTATGGCCGCCAATGAGAAACGGGCATACAGCAGTTTCAATTCTATGAACGAATTATGAGTTATTCCTAGCTTGATTCACGATCATATTAACACCAAATCTAAAAATTTGATCAATGAAATAGTACCAAAAAAATAAGCACCTAAATTTTAGTACTTGCAAACTAGTTAAACTAGAAAATTACAAAAAAGAAACATTACTATGGCTAAATTTCTTATAAAACGAGGAGACTAATGCCACAGATTTATTCATTTGTGTATGAATTTTAAAGAAGAATTTTTCTCCAATTAACAAAAAAATCAGTACGTCCAGGTTATCTTACCCCACATTTTAAAAATAAGACACCGATCCAATTTATTACACGCACAGTACAATGGATATGTTCTAAGTTAAATACCACAGCTATCAATACTTTGAAAATAACTGCTTCAACCGGTCCACGAAATATGCCCACATAAAATTGGTTTGTCCTCAAACATCTCCAAAAATTAAAATTAGTAAACTCAAGAGAGAGAACATCCAAGTAGTCCTCCAGAACAGTAAGAGAAATCAATAGTAAAGGAACATATAATCATATACTGGTGAACTATTTTAAAGCTATGCATCATCCAATATATAATTTTATTTTTCCTTTATTATTTTTGTGGGAGTGTTTGTATATATATATATAGATAGATAGATAGATAGATATAAGTAAAAAATCACAGATCATGACCTGATGAGGATCATTCACGGGGATGGAAAATGTGCTGTTGGAGTAGATAGGGTACTCTTGAGGTGTCCCAGGATACATCAGAGAACTTGAAGCAAGTAAAAGAGTACCTCTCCCATTTAAAACAACAAATACTTCTTCACATGAGTGCCTATGGATTGGCGTTCGAGATCCTGGAGTAAAAGTTTGAAGCCAAAGTTCAACCTACAAGCGCATATTAACATAATTTTCAGAAACTAATTCCAAGTGTACTTACAGAGCATCCAGGTGTGATAACTTGTTACATAATGAAAAAAGCCAGTCACAAAGATCAGTAAATTTTAAGTTAAAACTTTTATGCAACAGATAAACAGAGCTTTTCACACCATAAAGTCATGGCTTACCAGAAAATAAACATTGTGCATGAGCAGTCAACCATGATCCATGTAAGCAGCTCATTCAAATAACAAACTCTACATCCTGATAAGTATTTGAAGAAACATTTCACCCATCATAGGGCCAAAAACTTTTCTTATCCATTGTAAAAACAAAATACGCTTGCATAAAAATAAATGAATTTTATGATTTGTGAGTTGTCAAATGAATTTTATGATTTGTGAGTTGTCAAATAAAAATAAATGATTTTTATTGATTTAGAAAAAGCTTACGATAAGGTTCCAAGAGATATCCTTTGGAGAGTTCTCGAGAAGAAACGTGTTGATATGACTTATATTCAAGTCATTAAAGATATGTATACTAGAGCTGTTACTTGTGTTCAAACTGAAGGAGGATTGACAAAATATTTTCCTATTTCTGTTGGTTTACATCAGGGATCGACTTTAAGCCCATATCTTTTTGCTTTAGTTATGGATGGTCTTACTGGACATCTACAAGAGGATGTACCTTGGTGTATGCTTTTTGCTGATGATATTCTTCTCGTGGATAAAACGAGAGAAAAAGCCCAGGAAAAACTTGAATTATGGAGGTCTACATTGGAGTCTAAAGGCCTTCGTTTAAGTAGAACTAAAACTGAATACATGGAATGTAATTTTAGTAGTAATAACTCTAGTGACAGAAGTGTGAATTTGGGTGATCAAATTATTAAAAGGTGTGAACAATTTAGATATCTTGGGTCCGTTGTCCAAAGCGATGGTGATATAGATGGGGATGTTAATAGTAGAATTCAAGTTGGTAGGTTGAAGTGGAGGAATGCTTCGGGCCTTTTGTGTGATAGAAAAGTACCGCTAAGACTGAAAGGAAAATTTTATAAGATGGTGGTGAGACCTGCAATGCTCTATGGCGCTGAATGTTGGCCTTTAAAAGAGAAGCATAATAATAAGTGTTGTCGAGATGAGAATGATTAGGTGGATGAGTGGCTTTACATTTAGAGACAAAATGCGGAATGAATATATTCGTGATAGGGTTGGTGTAGCTCCTGTGACAGACAAAATTAGAGAAAGTCGTCTTAGATGGTTTGGTCATATTAAACGTCGATCATTAGATGATTCGATTAGGAGAGTAGATGTTTTAAATTCGACTAGTGTTAAGAAAGGCAGAGGTAGACCTAGGAAGACTTGGGCTTATTGTATTAAAAATGATCTTAATTTACTAGAACTAGATGAAAATATGAGACTAAATAGGACGCAATGGAGAAAAAGGATTCATGTAGCCGACCCCACGTAGTGGGATTAAGGCTTTGTTGTTGTTGTTGTTGTTGTTGAGTTATCAAATGATCAAATCAGAAGTTATCAAGGATTGTGGACAGCTTCATTCCTTGGAAACTATTATTTTTTTATGGGAATTAGATCGCTGCTTTTCTGCTTCTCTACAACAAAAGGCATGATGGATGCTTATACACGCAAACCTCTTGTCCTTGGTATAAAAGCTAGCCTACCTCTTGGCTTGTGTTAACTTTGGTATCATTTGGTATAAAAGCTAGCCTACCTCTTGTCCTATCATAGGATTTCTAGCATCCATTCACACCCAACCCTACCTCTGCCCAAAATTTTTCTTTTCCCCTCTACAACACCCCTACAAATCTCCTTCCACCTATGCATCTCCAAACCCTAATCAAGCCTCCACAGAGGTAATTGCCAGAACTTGATCAGGAGTTTGTCATGGAAGAGATACAGTGACAACTCCACTGAGTGCTACAACGGCTCATAAGATTGAGAAAAAAACCCATGGAGAGGTCATCGTCGAGAGTGGTAGCGAGATCCAATAAGGAGAGAGGAACATTTGATTCTCTTTCATAGGGATGATTCCAATGGAGAAGACGACAGGCCTCTTTGGGATTCAATATTAGAGGAGAGCAAAAGATGAAGTGCCCGTTGGAAGATACAAAGAGTCTGGAATGAAAATGGAATGAACCCGAACAACTTTATAGAGTAGTTGCAGACCGTCGAGCGAATTTTTGAATACAAGGTGTCAGATGACCAAAACGTAAAACTGGTTGCTATCAAGCTGAAGAAGAGCGCTTTGTTTTGGTGGGAGAACCTAAAGAGGAAAAGAAATAGAGAAGCACAGAGTAAGATTACAAACTAGCAGAAGATGAAGAGAGAGTTGTAGCGACAATACATACCCCTACACTACCATCAGAATCATTTTTTTAGGCTCCACTACCTGCAGCATAGGAAGTTGTAGCAGTGTGAGTTATTAATAAAAGAGTACAACACATAGTTCATGCAAGTTAAGTTGAAATACAATTTGACAGAACCTAAGGAGCACATGATAGTCAAGTATTTGGGAGGTCTGAAGCCCGCCATCGACTACGTGATTCAGCTACAGCCTTACTGGTCCCCTTAGCACTGAATGTGCAGAGACAACATAAACAGAGCAAACACACACCGCCATACAGACAGCCACCCACAGATGGAGATATTCGCATGAGCACACATACGGGAGTTGAGAAGACCGGTCAGCAGAATGATAGAGCTACACAGAATGAGACGAAGTCTGAAAAGAGCAGCACCTCCAATATAGTCCCAGCCAAAAAATACTTCATATGTCATGGGTTTGGACACAATGCTTCCAACTGTCAGATGAGCCAAGTTGTATCCTTTACCGAGTAGGGTGCAATGGAGAAAGTGAGTGAAGAGGAAGCAGCAGAAGAACTGGCGAAATACTTGTGGTTCGAAGGGTCCATCAATCTAAGACTATGAGGGAGCAGTTGTGGTTTCACCACAGCATATTCTACACATGTTGCACTATGAAGGGCAATGTATGCAGCCTCATCATCATGGAGGGAGCAGCAAAAATGTAACGCCTACACAGATGGTGGATAAATTAAGCCTCATAACTCTGAGGCATTCCAGCCTTATTCCTTGATGTTATTGAAGAAGAAAAACAGAGTCAGCATGGAGAGGAAGTACCTCGTAGAGTTTTTGGTCGGTAACTAGCTTAAAGATCAGGTGTGGTGCGATGTGGTGTCAATAGATGTCTGTCACATTCTGTTGGGGAGGCCGTGGCAATTCGATCGCAAAACTCAACATGAAGGGTACAAGAAAACCCACTCCACCAAGGATAGCAAGCGTTTTGTCCTTATACCTTCTTCAAAGTCCTAGATCACAGGTGCCCTTGCCAAAAGAAAAGCATCGATAGGATAAGTTTTGGTGGTGATAGAGGATGACAGAACTAAGGCATTGATTTCATACACCGGACTGTCATTGCAAAGAGCATTTCAGGACATCATGATCGAGACCTTACTATCATGGGAACGGTGAGGTTCAAGCTACCCTCACTTCAGATTAGGTTGAGCAAACCTTGGGTTACTTTGGGAGGACTCAAAGAAATAGATTTGACGCGAAGTCTCAATTCAGTTCAGTAGTGATCCCTTAGAAAGTTGGACAGATATAGATGTATGCTCATAAGTAGAGGAAGCTTCTCAGGTTTTTTGGGGACAGTACAGTCGCCAGTGGAATCCGAGTGTTTCTCGGGCCGCAGTCAAAGATCCTTCAATCCGGGGAGGTTACAACAGCTCTAACGTGCATACGGAAGTTTCAATGAATGAGGCTGAAGCTACCCCAATTTCTTGAGACTGACACGTGTGTTTATTCCTGTAGAAGTTTGTTCCTGCGGAATAGCGCTATGCGTCAATTGAGACCTCCTGGTCAAGACTAATAAGGGACCAACCAACCCTCCTAAGTGTGTAAGATTGTCGCCCCCTTGATGGGGGCTACTTTTTAGTTACTCCAGTATTATATATGTTGTTTCTTCTTGTTTTAGGAGAGTTTTTTCGTGTCTTCTGTCAAGACAATCATCGACGTCCAGTTTTTCCCTTCTAGGTGCAAGCGACAACAGGTGGTGGCTCCGGCTATATCTCGTCTAAGATGGTGATTATTCTCGTCCTTCCCACTCCTCAACAACCTTCCCTATGTTGTCGTCGTTATTGTATTCACTACAGTTACCCATAAAACAACAACCTTTTTTTTTTTTTTTTTTTTTTTTTTTTTTAATGGCCCTCACAAACACCCGCCTACCACACAGCCTCCTCCCATCTTGTTGTCACCCCTCTTCGTCACCCTTCCCGGAGCTAGACAACTCCTCTCCAGCCACATATTTGTTGTTCGAGCCTCCCAGAATTCCTTTCCCTGCAGCTGAGCAGTTGTTAAAACCTTCTGATACAGATCCCAGCCAACCTACAACAACCTTCCTACACCATAGCCAACCACATTCCCTATTGCCACTTCCCTGAACTGGTTCTCCTTCCCAACCACCTTCCTAGCCACCATAGCCAACCGCCTCCCCTGTTGCCCTTCCCCTACATTAGCCCTGCCCTCCAACCCTTCACTCCATCGCCACCCAATTTGGAATACACCCTTAGTTGAGTCTCCTATTGTGTTATTTATTTCTCCCTTTTGTGTGTAGTGTGTAACTAATGTCTCACCTCTGTGAAAAGTATCAAGTTAGTTACTACTTCGTCCTACCACTCTCCAATGGATGAGATCATCCACAAACATTGTTCTCACAGCAACTGATAATTCAGTCCTTCAAACACATGGTACACGAAAACCTCCCCAACTCAAATTCCCTGCAAATAAACTAAAAAATTCCCTTACCACTCAGCCCACATCAAAAGATCACCCCACATGAAAATCACAAGTAATCAAACTCTTCGAAGTGATTAGTTTAAAAAAGTATTTTAACGACAACATACCAAACCAACCAAACATTTCATCTCCAATGATGGCGCCATTACAACTAACGCAACCGACCTTCTCTAAAAT